TAATGGAAGCACCATCATCACTAACATTACCCATAACTTTATTCCCATTTTTCTTAGTTATCAACACGTCAACTTTGGTTTATCTGTGTTATTAGCAGCGGTGCAAAATCTCTTATATATGGTGCTTGGTGGATTTTCCAATTTGGGAGTGTTCTTTTTCAAAGGAGAAACTTATTGTACAGTAGATTGATTGGAACTACTACTATTCATTTTTATGACTTTTACAATGATATAAAAATATTGTCTCTTCATTATTGTCCAAACTCTGAACGTTTGGAAATGTATGTATTACATATACAATTTCCTATAAATCCTAGATAACAAACAAGATATGTAGATGACTTCTTCTTCTTTTTTGGCAAGAATTTAAGATTCATGATATTTTACAATCAGGTCTTGACTAAATAATGGTGAAACAAACAAAGAATATTTTTGTATTCTACCATACATTTTCTATCAATAGTGTCACTAGCAAAGGGTCCGCGTGAGGAGCAAACTAATGTTAGATTACTAGAAATTTCAACATTTTACCACATTTTTGTAAGAACGACATCATCATTAGATCAAAATCAGTTTTATAATCACAAATATGCACACCAGAACAAGGAGACTTTGACTTGGAATATTAAAATGTTAAAGCCATTAGTTTGACATGAGATTTCGACAAAATCAATCTATTTCAACGTAGTAGTAAAAAAATTGAATTATTGAATTACATGGGTTGATTTATCTTTATACGATTAAAATATACATTTAATAATGCTAACGTTATTAGGAAGGGACAAATGGCAAATGTTTTGATGTAATAGGAGAGCAATTAGCATAATTTTTAATTTACCGTTCAAGAAAGCCAACTAAGAGGTGGCAAAATCTTGTGATCAACTGAATTGCCACCTAGATCACGAGCTTCAATCTCAGCCTTTACAATCTATCAATACCTTCAATAAAGTTCAAAATATCTATATTCACTACATCAGAATTAGCTTATTTTATCATTTTTTTAAGGCGAGCATAACAAACATGTCCTAAAAACTAAAACAGACTTTTTACAACATGTCTTAAATGTGCCGCCGTAATAATTCAATTACTTAAAGTATTTACAGCATACATATTTGGCAAGTCATAAAAGTTGACTATTTGCGGCGTACTTCTCAAGCATGCCGTATAAATTAATAAAAAATTATTTGTGATTTTTAAAATAAAAAAAAATTATTTACGGCGTACTTCTCAAGCGTGCGTCAATGTGTGCTGTAATTTAAAAAACAAAAACAAATGTAAGATTAAAAAGGGGTTTTACGGCACGTATTTGTACACGTCATAAAAAATACTAGATAAGAAAATGATAGTTTTTATGGCATACATATCGGCACACAGTAAATAATGCACACTTTTTTTTAATCTTGACTTTTCTTTTATGTTTTT